ATGTATGTATGTATGTATGTATGTATGTATGTATGTATGTATGTATGTATGTATGTATGTTCCAGTATAACTCTGGAGCACCTCGAGCAATTTCCACCAAACTTGGTACACAGATGACTTACCCTCTGGAAACAAATACTTGGGGGACAACAACACCCCTAGTGTGTGTGTGTTTGTGTGTGTGTGTTCCAGCACAACTCTTGACTGCCTGGGCCGTTAAGGAGAGTGAGTGCAGCATCCTGGAGCAACGAATATTTTTGATGTCAGTTGCTTCGCAGCTTCCTCTGGAAAGCCAGCCGTGATGTTCATCCTCCAGTGGGCCAATGGAGACTAGATGGGCTTCACATCTCTGCCGCACATGTGCAGGCGGTGGGGCACATGCACATGGAGGGGTCATGCAGGGGGCCATGTGTGCATGCACAAGGGGGTAGGGCGCATATGGGGGGAATGCATGCATGCACAGGGGCAGGGTGCATGAACGGGGACCACACGTGCATTGCATTTTGGGGGTTTCTGCATGCACACATTTACAATACAATAGCAGAGTTGGAAGGGACCTTGGAGGTCTTCTAGTCCAACCCCCTGCCTAGGCAGGAAACCCTATATTACTTCAGACAAATGGATATCCAACATCTTCTTAAAGACTTCCAGTGTTTGTGGGCTTCCATTTGTGGGCGCATGAACACGCTTTGGGCGCTCGGTCCAGAAAAGGTTATCCATCACTGGCTTAAAATGTTGGGAGACTTACAAGATATATTAATTATCTTGTAAAAAAAATTTATCTTTGTCCTTTAGTCTTATTAATCATTGATAGTCTTCCTATCAATGTCTTGTTGGTAGAGTTGAGATATCCAGGCGTTATGTCATCTCAGTGAACTGAAATTACTGACAAGCTTGAATCGGTAACAAAATATTTTATTTGATTTGAAATAATGGCGAATAAAACTCTGTTAACTGCACAGATTAGATCCCAAATAATAATATACAGAAGGAATTGCTTCGCTTAAGATACAGAAATGCTGGTTACGTTTTAAGATATACACATGTTTTTAAATTACATTTTGGCATATACACAAAACAGTTCTGGAAAAATAAGACTTGTCCCAAGAGTGTCACGGCGATTAATCTGCAACCACAGAGTCATTATTTAAAAAAATAAGGTTGTTTTTTTTTCATATTTCCAGATGGGGATTTAAATGTCTAGAATGTCTTGTTGGGCACACTTTATTCTTCAGGCTGTGCCACTAAAATCAAAGAAGTTGGCACTTTTACATTTTCCTTTCCTCTTCCTGATAACTCCAATTTGTTTCAGGAAAAAAGCAGAATTCCTTGATTCCAGAAGCACCTGGGTTGAAAAGAGCTTGCCAGTAGCGAAAATCAGAAAAGGATATTCCCAGGTTTGGGTTACTACAGGTTCGCCCAGGTTCCGAAGAAGCTGTAGCTAACATTATGGCTGATTAGAGAACCTCCAAATCCCACTCCTGGCTGGCCCCGCCCATCCTTCCCCTCCACTGCCCTTCCATTAATTTCCATTTGGCATGGCCCTAATGGAGGGGGGAAACGGGCCTCCTCGAAGAGCGGAAATGGGTCTGTTTCCGGCCTCCAGAAGTCCTCTGGAGCCTGGAGGAAGCAGTTTTTGCCCTCCCAGAGGCTCGAGGAAACCCTCCAGAGTCTGAGGAAGGTGAAAATGCCCCCCTCCTGCTGTGGTGCAGGAGACCAACTAGGCCACCCCCACCATGGCCATGCCCATCCGGCACTCGGGCAGAGAACCCGTTGCTGAAATTTTT